GCTCTTTGATCTTTGGAACTCTGGGGCCAAGCACTAGGAGGTGCCTGTGTGTTGAGGCGGAGGAAATGGCAGTGGCCTCTATTGCATATTAACCTAACAGCGACTGTCCCAGCTTCCTTCTTAACTACTCCCAGAGTGACCTTGGGCAAGTCACCTCACTTTTCTGAGCCTGTTTCCCCACTGGCAAAGTGATGACAATAACTGCTTTAAAAGGTTCTTGTGAGGCTCACTTGAATTCGTACTCAGTGAGTGAATGGGGTGAGAGGTCAGAGTAAAGTCCGAAAGTGCCCTGCCTGCGTTTTCCCCAGCTACTGAATCCTGTGTTGTGAGCAGGCACTCCTTTGACTGAGCTTTGTTTTTCAGAATTGGAGCTACAAGATGGCTGATCAGGATCCTGGGGGCATTAGCCCCCTCCAACAAATGGTGGCCTCAGGTGCTGGGGCTGTAGTCACCTCCCTCTTCAGTAAGATCTTGGGAGGTGGGGTGAGGGCAGCTGGGGACGGGCAGAACAGAGATTGAAAATGTCTTGGTCCTGGAGGGGAGGGGTCAGGAGTGGAGTCTTGAAAGGAGTCTTCAGACCTGCCCTCTCCCTCAGTGACCCCCTTGGACGTGGTGAAGGTCCGCCTGCAGTCTCAGCGCCCCTCATTGACCAGCGGTGAGTATCCAACCCTGGAGCCAATAGGGGGTGGTGCCTGGGCAAAACAAGGATTTCCTAGAGATGGGATCCCTGGAGCAGGTGGGAGGCTCTCCTAACTGGAGGGGCTACCTTGTATTTTAGAGCTGATGCCTCCCTCCAGACTCTGGAGCTTCTCCTACGCCAAATGTGAGTGCCCCTAGTCACAGGGATCCCGGGAGGGTTGGGAGGGAGTGTCCCAGTCTCCCCAGGGCACCTGTGAGCCCCGCAGCCATGGACTAGCACATGCTTCCAGGTTCTATCAGCCAGCTTTCTGTCCTGTACAAGAATGCCCACCTAGGGACCCCCAGCCTCTGCTGGCCTTCCAGGAACAGGGGCTCACCACCTCCTTGCAGTGTTCCAGGGCCTTGACATTCTAATGTCCCCTCCCCTTCCCCAGTGCCTTCCTCTCTCCGACCCACAGGGAAGTGCCTCCTGTACTGCAATGGTGTCCTGGAGCCCCTGTACCTGTGCCCAAATAGTGCCCGCTGTGCCACCTGGTTTCAGGATCCCACTCGCTTCACTGGCACTATGGTGAGGAGCACCTGTGCCCTCAGCTGGGTGTGTCAATTCCTGAGAGATTCAGATTGCTTGGGCAGCAGACCCAGGAAAGAACGGGTACTGCAAAGCATGTGGGGGGGCAGCCATTTCAGTTTGGGAAAGGCTTCCCTGAGGAGGTAGTGCCCTCGATGAGGTTTTGAAGGGTGAACAGGAGTCCACCTGGAACCAAAGGGGTAATTGCATGTGTGAAGTCCTGAGGGCCTACTGCCTCCCAGCGGGACCCAGGGCTGTGAGCAGAGGCGAGGGCATCGGGTTGGGGCCCAGCCTGGGTTAGCCACTTCACAGGCCTTTTTGGTGTTCATGCTTCTTGCCCTGGGCTGATGTCCTCTTTGCCAGGATGCATTTGTGAAGATTGTGAGACACGAGGGCACCAGGACCCTGTGGAGTGGCCTCCCAGCCACCCTGTGAGTACTCTAGTCCTGCATGTTGCCTTCCCTTGTGCTCTGCTGATTTGCTCCCCTGTTGGCTGGCTGGGTGGGGCCAGGGAAGGCCTGGGAGGTTTGGGAGTCCTAGCTAACATCTCTTCACACCTCCAGGGTGATGACTGTGCCAGCAACTGCCATCTACTTCACGGCCTATGACCAACTCAAAGCCTTCCTGTGTGGCCGAGCCCTCACCTCTGACTTCTATGCACCCATGGTGGCTGGTGCACTGGCCCGCTGTGAGCACAGCCCTGGGCCCTTGATCTCCCTTTGACCCCACCTCTGCCTGAGCTCAGTCCTACCTCCCAGCTCCATTCTCTGCCCACTTAGGGGTGGGGAGATGTTTTGGGCTCCCAGACCCTGGGGCAAGCTGCTACTAGGACCTGTGAGCTGATCCCTCCCCATTGTTCCCCACAGTGGGCACTGTGACTGTGATCAGCCCCCTAGAGCTGATACGGACAAAGCTGCAGGCTCAGCATGTGTCATACCGGGAGTTGGGTGCCTGTGTCCGAGCTGCCGTAGCTCAGGGCGGTTGGCGCTCACTGTGGCTGGGCTGGGGCCCCACTGCTCTTCGGGATGTACCCTTTTCAGGTAGGCACCAGGGGTGCAGGGGATATGGGGTAAGGGAGCCCGTGGATGATGCACAAGAGGTCTACAGCGAGTCCCAACTTTGATACTACTGATCTTGAAGTCACTTAACTTCTTTGAGCCTATCTCATCTGTGAAATGGGCTGAGCAAACAGGGTATTTGGCCAGATTGTCACAAGATAAGATAGATCAGAGGAAGGTGGGTGGTATGGGGCCCAACCCTCTGCCCTACCCATCTCTAATGCGTGTACCCTGTGCCCCCAAGCTCTATATTGGTTCAACTATGAGCTGGTGAAGAGCTGGCTGAGTGGGCTTAGGCCAAAGGACCAGACGTCAGTGGGCATCAGCTTTGTGGCTGGAGGCATCTCAGGGACGGTGAGTTGACTGGGCTGGGGTGAGGCTGGCAGAGGTGTCTTTGCATGGCAGTGCATTAGCTGCCTGTTGAGAAACAAGCTCACCCTCCCTGGTGATAAGGCTGGTAGACCCCAGCTGGATGCAAGGGATGGGGTCCTGGGAATGGAGATGAATCCTCTCATACCCCACCAGGTGGCTGCCATCCTGACTCTACCCTTCGATGTGGTGAAGACTCAGCGCCAGGTTGCGCTGGGAGCAGTGGAGGCTGTGAAAGGTGAAAGGTTTGGCTGGTGTGGGGTAGGGGCAGGTGGGGGTCCAAATGGGTTCTTATTGGGCTGTGCTTCGTGTCTGCAGTGTCGCCCCTGCACGCCGACTCCACCTGGCTGCTGCTGCGGAGGATTCGGGCCGAGTCTGGCACCAGGGGACTCTTTGCAGGTGAGTGTCTGTGTCCAGGCTCTGGTGGGCTTGGGGCCTCTGGGACCCAACCTCTGACCCCACCCTTACCCTCCTACTGCAGGCTTCCTCCCACGGATCATCAAGGCTGCCCCCTCCTGTGCCATCATGATCAGCACCTACGAGTTGGGCAAAAGCTTCTTTCAGAGGCTCAACCAGGAACAGCCTCTGGGCCAGTGAGAGAAGCTAGGGGATGAGGGCCCCACCTCTTCCATGGATGGGGTGGGATAGGAGGAGACTGAGCCAAGTGCCTTGTCCTCAGGGGAGGGGCCTCATTTTTCTTCCCTCTTAGCTCTGAGCCCAGGGGTACCAGCCCACCCACGCCCCCTCAGACAGCTTTTTTCCTGCTCGTCCTCATCTGAAGCCCCAAGGATCATTACTTTTCCTCCCAGCCCCCCAAGTTCAAGACCAAATCTGTTAACTCTCTCCTCCCCCTGCCTTCTCACCCATTTCCGTGTGTGTGTATGTGGTAGCTGAGCCTGCCTCCAAGGGCCACAAAACCCTGGGCCTGGCTAGTCTGAACCCACTGCTGTTAATTCATTGAGTGTAAAGATGATGAATTTCTCTCCACTGCCTGTGACTACAGGGGCAGGGGACAGTGGGGTTGGGGCAAGCAGGACTTGGTGAATGATTTGCACAGAGGAGGCCTGGAAGGGATATTGATTGGTGTAGGGTTTGGCCGCCCAGGTGATGCCCATATAAAGGATCCCCCAATTTAGTCAAGACCCAGAGTAGGGGGGCAGTCAATGGGCAATATCCTGAGTTTCAGGCCAGGGTGGAGGATGGTGAGGCATCTCCTCAAGGTCACACTTAGGTGATGACAGCGGAGGAAGGGTTGCTTCACTGCGAGGCTTTGGCCTAATGGAAGGGTCTGCACCTTTGGGCCAAAGCTGAATTGTGCAGGATGATGGACAATGGCCCTGCCAGGGCCTGTCTCCTCCCTCCTGCCCCTCAGGATGTTGTCTCTTTTCTGCCTGGAGTTGAGCAAGTTCTTAAAAAGTATCAGGTTGAAGGGGTACTTATATGTCTGGGTCGTGCTCTGGGTGGACCTGATACAAAAGTCACCCACTCTTGACCTATTCTGACCTGTCTGTTCCTGCTGCATGCACACTTGATTCTGTGTGATCCGGCATCATGTTGGTAATGGGCCCAGCACTAGCTCTGCCACATTCTGCCAACCTCAGGACAGGGTCCTGCCCCAGCCCCCACAGACAAAGCTTCCCTCAGTCCTCTGGTTTTTATTTGCCTGATCCCCTCAGAGCCCCTACACTGGGGGCTGAGGAAGAAGTGACTCCAGAGGATGAATACAGGGACAGACAGGAGAGGTGGGGGAGATGAAGGTGCTGAGGCTGGGCCACCAGCTCCTGAGGAGGGTGGGGGAGATGGTGAAGGAGAGTCCCTGGAGGGACCCAGCCAGGCATCAGAGTCACCAGAAGAATGGAACAGACTTCCCCAAGGACTTCCTGTGGCCTTGGAGACCCTACCTTCCTACCCAGCAGGCTTCCTTTGGCAGCCCTGGTTTCCTTGGGCAGGAAGCTAAAACCAGAAGCAAAGGTTTCTTTTCCAAGAGACCCTTAGCTGGGTGTGCAGCATTCTCTGGAAAGATGGCCTGGATTGGGGGACTCTGAGGAAAGGTGGCAGGTGTCTCTGCCTGGCAGGTGGGGCTGGCACAACCCACACTGTTCAGCTGGGACTCAGTGCTGGGCTGCCCTCAGGACTGTCGCTCACCAGGCACTCGTTGGATTTGAAGCTCGCCAGGGACTTGCAGCTGGGGATGGAAGCCAAGGAGCCGCAGAGGCCCAGCATGGAGGGCGTGGGGTCCTTCCCTGGGGAGAGAGGGTGGGTGAGGCCAGGCCAGCCAGTCTGCATGTGTGGGGGTTGTGGGCTCAGGCTGTGAAGGGGCAGCCCGTCAGTGCCCCCCTCCCAGGAGACTAATTTCTGCAGTATTTGCCTTTCAATTAACATTGATAAGCACCTGCCCATGCCATGCACAGTGCAGGGAGCACTATTGTAATCGTCAGTTTATGTCTCTGTCTCCCCCTGAGTTTCATCCTCTCTGTCCGTTTATTAAACACACAGTGAGCACTTGTTCTGTTCCAAGCACTGGGGATACCGAGAACGGATGAGACACAGTCCCTGCCCTCAAGGAGCTCACAGTCTGGTGGGGAGACAGACACATGGACAATCACAAACAGTGTGGCAGGGTCACATGTCCATAGCCTGCCTTTTCTCAAAGAAGATCTAGGGTCATCCAGTACAGTGGTTTTTAGAAAAGACATGACATCCAGGCACCGGGAAAACTAGGGTGGGAAACCAAGGTGAAGCCACGGGAGGGCAACACAAAATGCATGCGTTGAAGTCCTGGACATTCTCTTGAAGGGAGCCACTAATTTGGCTCTGAGCTTCCTGGCAGCCAAAGAAAAGGGGGAAACAAGGGTCAGGCAAGCAGTTCACAGTACGTGAGATAAAGACCAAATTAGGCAGAGAACTCCCTGAGAATTTGAACCCCTTGAGGATGTCACGATACCAAAAAGCCATTAAGCCCTTAAAACATGCCAACACTGGTGATCGCTTTAATCAACATCCCCACTGTACAGATGAGAAGGGCTCAGCAATGTGAATAATTGACCAAGCTCCACAACCAGAAGAGACGCAGCTGGGGTTTGCACCTGACACCCCAAACCGCGCTCTTAATTGCTGTGCTGACCTGGAAGGGCTGACTGAATGAGGGAATTGGCCAGGGCCTGACTACAAGCCCCAAGGCCTGGCCCAAGCCCTTCCTGGAGGGATGCTGGGGTGCTGCATTGGGGGGCTCACCGATGGGGCCCCAGGGCTCCTCGTCTTGCTTGCCTTCTCCCAGGCGCTGGGAGTCTGAACTCAGACTGGCTTCAGCTGATAGTGGCTCCGTGCTCATGAAACTGTGTCTGTGACAGAGTAGAGAGCTGGTGTCCAGGCAGAGGCTTACCGCCCGCCCCCCCATGCCCCTTTTCCCTCAGAGGGACCAGCACTCGGGCCCNACAGTATTTGCCTTTCAATTAACATTGATAAGCACCTGCCCATGCCATGCACAGTGCAGGGAGCACTATTGTAATCGTCAGTTTATGTCTCTGTCTCCCCCTGAGTTTCATCCTCTCTGTCCGTTTATTAAACACACAGTGAGCACTTGTTCTGTTCCAAGCACTGGGGATACCGAGAACGGATGAGACACAGTCCCTGCCCTCAAGGAGCTCACAGTCTGGTGGGGAGACAGACACATGGACAATCACAAACAGTGTGGCAGGGTCACATGTCCATAGCCTGCCTTTTCTCAAAGAAGATCTAGGGTCATCCAGTACAGTGGTTTTTAGAAAAGACATGACATCCAGGCACCGGGAAAACTAGGGTGGGAAACCAAGGTGAAGCCACGGGAGGGCAACACAAAATGCATGCGTTGAAGTCCTGGACATTCTCTTGAAGGGAGCCACTAATTTGGCTCTGAGCTTCCTGGCAGCCAAAGAAAAGGGGGAAACAAGGGTCAGGCAAGCAGTTCACAGTACGTGAGATAAAGACCAAATTAGGCAGAGAACTCCCTGAGAATTTGAACCCCTTGAGGATGTCACGATACCAAAAAGCCATTAAGCCCTTAAAACATGCCAACACTGGTGATCGCTTTAATCAACATCCCCACTGTACAGATGAGAAGGGCTCAGCAATGTGAATAATTGACCAAGCTCCACAACCAGAAGAGACGCAGCTGGGGTTTGCACCTGACACCCCAAACCGCGCTCTTAATTGCTGTGCTGACCTGGAAGGGCTGACTGAATGAGGGAATTGGCCAGGGCCTGACTACAAGCCCCAAGGCCTGGCCCAAGCCCTTCCTGGAGGGATGCTGGGGTGCTGCATTGGGGGGCTCACCGATGGGGCCCCAGGGCTCCTCGTCTTGCTTGCCTTCTCCCAGGCGCTGGGAGTCTGAACTCAGACTGGCTTCAGCTGATAGTGGCTCCGTGCTCATGAAACTGTGTCTGTGACAGAGTAGAGAGCTGGTGTCCAGGCAGAGGCTTACCGCCCGCCCCCCCATGCCCCTTTTCCCTCAGAGGGACCAGCACTCGGGCCCAAGCTGAGCCTGGCAGTGCTTACCTCCGGTAGAGCTTGGGATTGCTGACACCCTCTGCCCCATTGAGGGTTCCCAGTGATGGCCATTGGTTGACCAGGGGTGTGGTGAGCTCCTTGGAACCCTGGGCCAGGGGAGCGTGGTCACCAGGGATCAGACCTGTCCTGGGATGGGGAGGGGGGGATCAGGCTGGCTGGGAGAGGGAACAGAAGCAGGGAAGGGGATCTCAGCAAGGGGTGAGGGAAGGGGTTAGGATTGAAACCTGGGTACCAGAAATGGGGACAACGCTGAGGATAAGTAGGGTAGATTCTAGGAATCAGTGGAGGGTACTGGGGGTCAGAGAGGTGACAGGGATTAGTGCACTCACGTTGAGGGCTAGAGGGAGTAAAAGGGTGTTGTGGGAGTCTGGGTGACTGAGTCAGGGGAAAATAGTGTAGGAATCTTGATATGTAATGGGGGCAGGGGGCTTGATTTGGAAGCATGTTGAGAGGTCATAGGGTGATGAAAAGGTTTTCCTAGTGGGGAAAGGTCAGGGTTGGTAGGAGTGAGGTCAGGGGTCACCATGGGTGATGTCAGTGGGCGTATGTTGCAGATCAGAGGGGATAATTCAATCATGTTGAAAGTTGAGTGACAGAGGTCCTTGTGAGTCATATTGGGGTTCCTGGAATAATGTTGGATGGCCAGTCTAGCTGACGTTGGGTAATTGAGGATGAAGTCAGGAGCGGGTTTTTGGAGGGTCCCAGGATCTTAGTTGAGGATAATGTTATGTCACTAGGGGGTCTCGGGGTAGAGGTGATGGGGTCAGTGGTTTGATGCTGGCAGTTGGTTGAGTTGGATATGGGTACCAGGAAAGGTGAGGTTAGTTAGAGGCAGTGGGGGTTCCCTGGGGTGAAGTGGCCGGGTTCAGGGCAGCAGTGGCGCTCACAGCTGCTCCTGCAGCTCCAGGATCACGCCTTCCAGCTCCCGCTTCTCGCGCTGGTTCTGCGCCGCCGCTTCCTCCAGTTGCAGCTGTAGCCGCCGGTTCTCCGCCTCCAGGTCCTTCAGCTGCGACTCGCGCAGACGCACCAGCTCCTCCAGGTAGCCCTGCGGAGCGCCGGCTCAGCCCGGGCGGCGGGAGGAGGGTCCCCGCAGCCCC